CTGTTACCACATTCCCCTTATCATTGAATACAGTTTCCTGCCCCAGTGTATATGCTTCCTCTTTGGCCTTTTGTCCCATATGAAGTTGAGTTTGCCATGCATGGATGGAATGAGAGAGTCTGGAGTCCTATATCAAAACGAGCCTTGGAATATAAAAATTGGAGCTTTGGCTAAAGTACTATACTGATTTGGGGAATGCTATGAGATTTTAGCCAAATAATATATCTTCTCTCTTCCAAGGTGAATGACCATTTATGCGACAAGCAGAATAGTGTAATGGCTAAACATCTGGGTTCTCAAGTTAGGCAGACATGAGTTGAATCTTGTTTCAGTCACTTTTTAAGTTTATGACCTTGGGATATATAAACTCCTCATCTGCAAAAGAAGGATGGCAACAAAACCAATCTCATAGGATTGTGGCAATAAGTAAATGTGACAGTAAACATAATGTGGTTAACTCAGTGCCTGGCACACAGTGTAACCAATGAGCTCTCCCGTGGGCTGAGAGGGTTCCTAATTATCTGATGTACAAAGCCTTGTATTACTTATCTATGGCTGGGTATTGCCTCAGCTTACATTTATTGTCTCACACTGTTACTGGGGATCAGGAATCTGGAATAAGCTTGGCTGGGTAGTTCTGGCTCAGGTTCTCGCAGAAATTGTAGGCAAGCTGTCAGGTGGAGCTGTAGTCATCTGAACGCCTGATGGAGTCTGGAGTACCAGCTTCCAGTATTACTTAGCTGGCTGTTGGTGGAAATCATCAGTTCCTCACCACATGTGCCTTTCTGTAGAATGGCTCACAACATGGCAGCTGACTTTTCCCAAGCAAGTAATCCAAGAGAGAAAGCAAGTGTGACCAAGACAGAAGTCCCTGTGTCTTTTATAACCTAAGATCAGAAGTGACATACCATAACTTCTGCACACATTCTATTGGTGACACAGACCAGCCCTTGTACAGTGTGGGAGGGGTTCTCAATGTGCACAAGTGTGCAAATGCCAGGAGGCAGTGGTCCCTGGCGGACCTGGGAGGCTGGCTACCATGGCCTTTATGTAGCTTTTCTGAGCAATGCCACAGATGCTCTCTCTGAGAGAGAAAAAAAAAAAAAAAATTACTTTAATTTTAGATTAGAGCCAGGAGGCTTTGAAATGATTATAATGGTTGATAATTTACCAGCAAATGAAAGGCATCTGAACATCAAGATAAATGCCTCAGTGGGGTCTGCTAGCCACTTGAAAAGCATGTGGCTCCACATGCCTAAAAAATCCACAGCTGACTTTAGTAAAATCTTGCTATTAAATATTCTAGCTCTGCACTTCAACAAAGTGCAAAGGACAGAAGTTGTCTCTCTGTATTAACAAGTAAGAATGGTTAGTGGATAAGGCATGGTTTACAAGTCTGTATTTATGATTGAGGTCTGGCTGAAAAACAGCGAGAATAAACCATACAACCGAGGAAGTCTAATTCTAGCAGGAAGTTGCTTTGAAATAACATCATACTTCACTTACTTCCCAGCTGATGTCTTTGATGACTGGTTTGGACACATCAATAAAACATCCTGTCACCATATTTTATTTTCTTCAGCGTTTCCCACTGTTTGATTGTAACTCAGTGCCTGTTCTTACAGCAGAATTCATACTCTGATTTAGATTTGCCAAGTAGATTGCTTTTGGTTAAATTTGTTGCCCCAGCACCAGTCCTTATGGTTTGAGAGATCCCATTCAAAAGTCCCTAAAGAAAAAATATGCAGCCTTTACTGGCTGGATTTGTAGCTCCAAAATTTAGAAGAAAGCTGGCTAACATTATTAAAATTTTGAAGTATTTGTCTTTCAGAAATACAAAGAATAGCAAAAAAAGTATTTTGATGGCTCAGAATTTATTTTATGTACTTATTGATTAGTACACTTTCTCCCCCATTTTAACCAAAGATTCTGTACATTGAAACAATAAAATAAGTAAAGACATGTGTCTGCTTTAAAATCTTGATATTGGTTAAGTCTCCATAGTCCTTTTTCATGCTTTCTGGGGAAAGGTTCTTTCTCAGCTCAGCCGCACTTTGATCTCAGAAGCGGTGTCATTTGGTTGTAAATGTATGTGGTGCCTTTGATCTAGTACTTAGCTGGTTTTTTTAAAATAGATAGCTTCTTTTATCTAAGTAATGTTTACTATAGGTCTCTCTCTATGAAAGATGGCTTAAACTGCTATTATTTAGCTAGAAAGTTATATAAAGTTTCTTAAGAGTGTCGAGATCTAAATCGAATTCTCTAAATTCTAAAATCTCAATGGCTGTATTATAGATTTCATAAGGTAAATTCCTATTAAAATGAGCTGCTCCTATAGATGTCAGGTATATTTGCAAAAACTTTGTTTGCTTTTTAATGGGGAACTGATTTTCCAAAGAACAATAAACATATCCTATGCTCAGACAAAAATGGTAATCTCAGAGTCTCTGAACTTAATGACCAGTTATCTCTCTGAAATTCCTGTATTAATATATCTTTATATTACTGGGTTATGGATATTACATGGCTTATATTGAAATGCAACTCCTTAAAAATAATCAATATATCTTTAATTTTCTTCTTTAGGAGGATTTCTTGAGTATTTTGTTAGTGTATTAGTGACTTGTGTTTGCCTTTCTTAGGCACATTCAGTTATTCGTTCAACAAACCATATTGCAGGTGCAAGGACCCAGAGACGACTAAGTCACAGACTCTGCCATCACAGACTGGGGGCCAGGGGGCAGAGCACTAGCAGATAATTACATGGCAGTGTGGTGAGTGCCTCTCAAGGACAGTGCTCCTCCCAGCCTGGCCCTGGGAGTGGTTAGGGAAAGCTTCCTGGAAGAGGTGGCATTTGAGCTGCCGTGAAAGTCTGTGACTCAGTGTCCCATAAATTCCCAGCCAAGTTCACAATGTAAAGCCAATCTATTGCCCAGACCCGCTCACATACACACGTGTTTAATACAGATGGCCTAAACCTTGAGAGAGGTGTAAACCTTGAATGGCTTTGCTGCCTGAAGCTACCCCAAAGCCTTCTTGTTTGTCATTCAACACTAAGGAGAAAAACCCAAAACCACTTTTCACATACATTTTAGAACATTAGCTCCATTCTTCATTAAAAGGAGATACTGGAAATCTCTTTGTGTTGTAAGTTAAAATAGCAGCATGTAACTGTTCTGTTTTGTTAGGTTCCTGACACAAGTTTTCTCCATCCTTTTTGGTGTCACATTCCTACCATTTCAAAATTCTTGTTATTACTTTATCTGTGTACTAACCATGTGCAAGCACCTTTAAGCACTGACCCTGGCAGTAGGCACTCTGGAGGATATTTAAGAAGTGTATAAAGGGACACTTTTCAGGCCTGGAGGTTGGGGAAGGGGCATGAAGAAGTAATCTGTAGTCAAGTAAAGAATCATTACAATAATAGTCACAAATGTTCCAGGAGAAAGGTCTCAGAGAGAAAATCAGAGGACATTAGAACCTGACCTCAGGGGACTCATACTGGATTTATAGAGAGAAAGGGAAGAGGCTGGCCTCTGGAGAACACAAGAGCATGAGTTTGGAGTGTTTCTGGATCAGTGCAGAGATAGTTAGCCTAGGGCAGATGAAGTAGAGGTAGTGATGTGCTGAAGGCAAACTGGAAGGGTTTGGCTTTTTCCCAGTGGGACTCCTGAGCCCTCAAGGCTATGAAACTGCAGAGTGAAGTGGGGTCTTGGGTGCTTTCCCTGTTCTTTAACATCAGTCACCAAGAAATACTGACTGAGAAACACACATTTTAGGTAGTAGGAGCCTTAGAGATCAGAGCTAGTCTCCCCCTTTGCCCATTGAGGAAATAAGCCCCAAAGTTCAGGCATTTCAGCTCTCATAGTCGCTGAGTGGAAGAGCAAGTGAGGCCTGCCACCCTGTTAACCAGGACCCGGGCCTGAGCCTCTCTTCCTAGGGCTTGTTTCCGACTAGGAGGCCTGGTGTAGGGTTGAGGACCATGGACAGTTCACAGAACCTGGTAGGAGAGAGGCCATTACACCCTGGGGTCCTCCAACAGGCTTGGGCTCCAAGGATAGTGCCGTTCTCACATGGCTTCATCTGCCTTTCTGGATCCCCCAGGGTGCACACTATGTCAGACGTTGAATAAGAGGAGTTGGGCAGTTGATAAGAGACAGGACAGAACAGAATCAGAATAAATTAAGCAGACCCATGAGAGCTATGGGAGAGCCAGGCTAAGAGGAAGGAGAGCAATATTACTTTGGGAGAAATTATTAATTTTTTAATCATAGGCTGCCTATGGCCCCTAACTTCAGGAAGGGCAAATGGAGCATGCTGCACACAAACTGTGTGGATGGAGAGCAAGGTGGAATGGATAGGCCTCCAGAAAATCAGGGAACTATTATTAGAAGAAAGGTGGGGGATAAATGCTGTTGAAGCAAAAACAATAGATTTTGGCAACAGCCCCTTGGTCCTAACCTGAAGGTGAAAAGGATATATAAGACTGGGATGTTCTCATAGAGTGTTGCTGTGTGCCACCTATTCTCAGTGCTTTCTCCATATTAGCTTGAGTTGGAATCTGAACCCAAGAAAACTGACTACAGAACCTCTGTTCTTCATCACTGTTGTAAATCCCTTTTCCTTCTGTCCTTACATTTCTTTTCCTCTGAAATAAGGATTTGAGGAAGGCCCTGATAATGAATGTGATTGCCAATCACACAGTAGTAGTCATTATTGCTTTTATTATTAAAAGAATATGTAAAGTCTCTGGTATATAGCAGACATTCAATGACTGTGAAATAAGACAAAAAGCATTTGAAACAGACCAACACATTTGCACAGACTCTAGAGCTAAAAGGAAATCTCCATCGTCTTCAGGGGATTATAGCAATGGGTGTGAAAGAATAGGTGCAGACAGTAAATATATGAATAGAAATGTCCAGAGACCCATTGAGGCAGAGAGAAAATGGTGAGCTGCTGAATCCTTTAATGATTCTTTTTCTCCTTCCCTTCTCAAGTGCTGCTTAAGTAGAGCTGAGGCCAGGAGGGATGCAGCTAAAGTGGCTCTAATCAACTCCCTCTTCAATGAGCTGCCCTCTCGCAGGATCACCAAGGAATTCATCATGGAAAGTGTGCAGGAAGCAGTTGCTTCTACTAGCGTGAGTACCCACCAGGGAAGGGGGGGAGCTGGCTGCACTGAGAACACTTGAGGCCTTTGAATCACTGGAGATGCTAAAGTGAGCAAATTTAAAGTATTGTGCAGGTTTCATTTTTACCCATTAAATCATTAATTTTCAGCAAAAAGAAAACGTGGAATGGAAATCATGAAATTGGATCTGGTTCCCTATTCTATCCATCTCAGTAATATTTTTAGCCTCCCTGGATCGCATTTATCAAGCCTTATGTCAAGGTACATAATTTGATCTACCTTGTTTATTTGAATCTTTGCTGTTTGAGAAGCATTGATTCTTTTAGGGCCTGAGAACACATGCAGTTGAATTCTGCTTTATCATAGAACTCATTTTCTCCCCAAAACTTAACTAATAATAAAAATTATTTGAAGTACCTATTAGAAATGCTGATTCTCCAGCCAACATGGGGTCCTACAATCTGTATTTTTAAGGAAACGCTGACTGCTTAGATATGAGAAAAGCAGTATGCCCATTACTGTTAACTATTAGAATCACCATGCTTAATATCAGTTACTTCTTTGGTAGAGCTTTGAAAAGTTTTGTAATGGACATAATTAAATGCAGAGTGCTTTAAGAGCAAGAAATTCTGTCTTAGAATTTTAGATGGGACATTTTCTCAGTAATCTAGAAGTAGAAGATTTGCCTGTGAATCATTTGGAGCTCCTGATCTTGTTACCTGAAAGTTATAAACCATGGAGGAAGCCTTGGGGCTCCCTGCGTGACCTCCAAGGGCAGGAACTTGGCGTTACTAAAAGGATTAGCCCCCTCCTGACTTCACCTTTAAGCATGGCTAAACCCCATCTGAGGTTTTCATTCTCTGATTCCCTTAACCTGACTGTAAAGTTTCCGTCATTCTGGAGAAGCTGCTGATCATGAAGGAGACAGTACCGCTCCAGCAGTGACCCCCGTGCTCCTTTTCCTTCATAAATGTTCCCAACACACAGAGATAAGGGAAGGGGCAGGGGACAGAGAGGGGCTGACCTGTCAGGGAGATGTCTGGGATCTGTATCTGTTCTGTTTCTGTTCTGAGGATGAAAGGAAACCTTCATTTTCCTGCCCTATAAATTTCAAGTGCCTTTGAGGAAGAGAAGTTAGGAAAATGATGCCTGATTTATATGTGTGGAATTTTCTCAGAAGCAGGGAGGGGCCCACAGTGTAAATGTAATTTATCATTTTTTCATGGAAATTTCTAAGGAAAGCGAATATGTAAGGTTTGCAGGCTTCTGGATGGATTTCCTCTGGGATATTTAAAAAGCCAACATAAATATTTCAGCAGCAGTGTGTTAATGTTATTGCATTCAAAAGCTATAAATTTGCTGCTATCTGATGCTGGCAGTTGTTTGTTCAATCTCACAAAGCCACTGCCCACCTTCCCAGGAACCCAAGGCTGTGGGGTACTGAAGGGCAGGCCCCAGCACTACCCCAGAGCTTATGTTAGCTTTTACTGCCACTCCCCTAAGCAAAGTGAAGGGGCATTTCATTTCTAACCATCACCCACCTGTCTTGTTTCCTAAAGATTAAGTGTTCCAGAAGTGAAAAAATATAAACCAAGACCCATGTCTCCAGGCTGAACACTAGCATATTATGAAAAGCTCCCATTAAGAATCATGGCAGTAAAATATGAATGGTCCGTACAACCAAAGAATTCTTTCCCTGTCAGTTACGTAATCTTGCCTGGTTATCATCAGAATCGGAACAAGGTCAACATTTCAAGATTTCACTAGCTGATGAAAGCAGCCTCACAGGGCAGCTACTGAAACATAAATGCCACCACACCAAAACCCTGAGCAGGGACACAGGAAATCATGCTTTGAGATGATGATTCTTTTAGTGAGCAGATAGTTAACATTCCAATTAAAAGCTAGATTCAAATTGATTACAAAATCCTCTTTACACTGACTCATGGTGAGATTAATGATTTAATCCCAAATCAATTGCAGATTTGGTTGTAGAATGCACACCTGAAGGCTTAGGACAACAACTGAAGGCTTGCTGTGCGGCCCCAGTATTAATTCATGACCACCAAAGAAGAGGAGGACAAATATGTAATATTTTCCTTTTCTGCTTCCTTCCTAAGGGCACTTTGGATGACGCAGATGACCCCAGCACCAGCATTGGAGCCTACCACTACATGTTGGAGTCAAATATGGGCAAGACCATGCTGGAATTTCAGGTACCCAACCTCCTGCCACAGAGGTTTTTGCTACACAGTCCAGAAGCCTGGGAGAATGCCACTCTTATCACTAACATCTCCTGTCCCAGGAAATGTTACTCTTTTTTGTTGCTTTGGTCATTTTAATTTAACCCTCTTAAAATCCAGCCTGGTAGCTCCATCATTAGCCATACCTCAGTAGGTTAAAATAAACAAGCATACAAAGTGCAATCTTTGCTTTCTTAAAGGGCAATAAAAGTCTTATGTCTAAGAAACAAGTGGGGAACACCAACACCATTTTATGACCCTGTAACATCCCACCAGCTTTTCAGGACAAAGTTCCCCCTTAAACCAAATCAAACAGTTTTAAGTCTTGGTTGTGACCATTTGGATCTTAATTTTCAGAAGTCATAGATAAAGATTCATGCAATGTATATTAAACAATGTCTCCCTCAGAGCTGGCATTTCTGTTTAAGATCAGTCACCTAGTATCATTAACTAAATAAAAAAAACTTAACAAGCTGTAACCCTTTTTTTGCACCACTGACAAGCAAAAATATAGCTGAGGAACTTATTACATATGATTTGCAAATTAAGTTATTATATTAACAGAAACAATAAGAATAAGAATAGCTGATGCTTATTGGATGCTTACTTTGGCAATGTGCTAAGCATTTAAGAAATATTATCATAATTTAATCCTCACAACAAATATATGAGTAATATTATTTTCATGGCATCATTGAAGGAAGTGTGTCATTTGGCTTAGCAAATGGCAGAGCCAGAGTTCAGACCCAGACCGTCTGACTTCTGAGCTCATACTCCCAACTACTGTCCTATATAAGGCTGGGCAGATGAAAATTAAGTAGTGAATGGGCGTGAAATGTGTGTGCTCTACTAAACTTGAATGCAGGTGAACATCCACATACGTGCAATGCTAGTAGGAGTCAATACGCAATGCTGTGATGAACAGCCTTTACCCCCAGCATTTCTGTTTTGTTAGGTTAGATTCCAAGAAGCAATCAGAGACAAAAGTTTTATGGACAAGAAGGTTCATCATGATATAATTTACAATGATGTTACACCTGAACCCTGAAGCCACTAACTTTCAGATACCTTCTTTGGTGCTTTTCAAGCTCTTTCCCTGACTGCTGGGGTATAGCCACTTCTCAGGTGGATACATCCCACCTGCCCATTTAAAAAAAAACAACATTTTTCCTCATCAGTCCTTTGTTTGGTAGAAATAAAAATACTGTTTCTTCACCTTGTCCTAGGATCTCAGTCATCCAGTTTTCTCCTTAAGTGGCCATTGTGTCCCTGACTTTTAATGTTGCTTGTCTTGGTTTTCACAAGACCAAATATCCTTAAAGCCTACCCTCTGGGCTAGAGAGGGTCAGGGTTCTAACCTTTGGAGCTGGTCCATTTTAACCTGGCTATGCTCCTCACCTCTACATCTGTTTCCTCATCTGTGTATAAATCGGGGAGAATAGTAGCAGTGGTGCCACCTCACAGGGCCGTTGTGAGCGTTAAATGGGACAATAGAGAGAGTCCAGAATAGTTCCTGGGATATATGGTAAGCGCTCAATGAAATTTAACAACTGTTATTGTATATATTTCTATAGAAGGACTGCTTTACTTGAAATGCCAGAGGCTCCCAGAAAGGTTCCCTTGACAGCTTTATCCAACCTAATAGTTTCAGATGAAGATGGGGGAGCACAGCACCCTATACATCGTTTCATGTTCCTTGTTATAGAATAAAAGGGTGGAACAGTAAAAGGTCCTTTTATCTCCCCATTGCAATCTAAAGTCAAACAGAAGAAAAATAAAGTGCAGGAACATAATACAAGAGAAAGAGCACAAAGTTTTAAAAATCATACAGGCCTATGTGTGAAGCCTATTCTAACCACTTGCCACCTGTGAATTTAACATTTTGAGACTCAACTTTCCCATCTATAAAATAAGAATCATAATGCCTATTGTGTAGGATTTTTGTGGGATTTACATAATTAGACATTTATTTAGCATCTAGCATAGTGATTCCCCCAAGGAAAACCCTTACTTATTTTAATTTCTCCCCTCCTCTCAACCTCTCCAAAAGAATGTTATATTTCTTCATTATAGAGTGAATGTTGCCTGCCTCAGTACATAGTAGCTTGTATATGATTTAGTAGTTACCTTCAGAAAAATCAAGAACAGGTTTTGAATGCAGTTGGGTTAGTTCACCAAAGATGGAGAGGGAAAGATTAAAAAAAATATAAGATTTTGCCCAAATGCTATGAAAAGCAGCACTCACTTGCCTTCTAGTAATACTTTCATTGCCTTGCTATGTGCTGTATGTTTTCTGTGTGGTCTGTATAGTAAGGTATTTAAACATGTGAAATAGTAATTTGAAGCATACTGTGGAAATGCTTCATAAATTCTCATAAAAGAGGCTGGATGCAGAATGGAGGACAAAGGAAAAGGAAAATGTGAGGGCAGGAAAAAATCCTAATTCCCTCCCCGCAGTATGGATGCTGGCAGCCCAGGAGGAGGGCAATGGAGCTTATCCTTTTTGCTTCCGCCAGTTCTAGGTTGCCTGCTGGGTCCTGCCACATTCTTTGGTGGCCCAGGTTAAATGCATCAGCTTGTTTCTGCACATAATGGAAATTGTCCGCAGAGCTGGGCTGTTCACAGCAGACAAAGCAATTCAGTACCCTGGTGGGTAATAGATGTGTGTTTGTATCTAGCTATGGATGACTCTGCCATACAAAAACAAGGCTGCTGTCTCCTGACTGCCCGCAGGCCTTCCAGGGGGCCGTCAAGGAGGCAGTACTCAGAGGAAACATGATAGGCTTCTGCTTACCTTGACTTCGTGGGCGGGAAGTTGAGATGCCTGTTTTGAGGTAGCCTTGCCTTAGAGAAAACTGCCTGATGTTTGGGAAAAGAGATGGCGACAGCATTAGCCACTGGGTCTTGTCAAGGTCAGATTTGAGGCCGACTTTGACTGAAGCTGGTTCATTTATTTATTCTGAAGCCTAATGCAATCCAAGGACAAGTTGTTTATTTACATCTTTGCTAAATTCTCCAGGTCGCCTTTTAAAACCTCATCCCATAAACAAATTTCCTCTTAAATCCATTCTCTTGGGTGGGGAGATGGTGCCCACCTGTTTTTCAAGTTCTCCATTTACAGTGTTTGTTTTTCTTATTTCTGATGAATCACAGGACCAAACCAGTCTCCCAGACATAGTTCCAAAGAGAAGCAGTGTGCATTTTCTCCCCAAAAGTAACTGAAAGGCCAAACATTGTGTCTAGTGGGAGGCAATACCAGGCAGCACTGTGAGGAAGGAGCCCAGTTGTTGGTTTAAATGGAATGAATGACGAATGAATGACAAAATGAACAAGGAAGGCAGTAGAATGAAAGCTGCAACTGCAATTTTCCCTAAAGAGAAGGAGATCACAGGGCTTGATTGTCCTTTTGATTTCAAATTCACTTTGCTGATTGGGACTGGTGACATAATTTGGGGGATGGGAGGGGATGGCCAGTGCAAAATGAAAATGCACGGCCTTTTGTTAAAAAATGAGCAGAATTTCAAGTCAGCAGAGCATTTAACCAAGCTCAGGGCCCTGTGTGATGGCACAGATCCCAAGTTCATGAAGACAGATTCATGAGAAGGGCCCAGACTAGGTGAGGAGAGTTAGGCATTCACCTCAGGCACAAAATGTAAAAGGACATCAAAAGTCTCAGTAAGCAACACAGTATTATAATGCCATATTTAAAAAAACTCAAAATTAATGTGTAAAAATTCATGACATACAAAATATCAAAATTTTAAACAGAGAATTCTGTATAAATACAAGATCCTGAACCTGCATGACTCACTCCACCCAGGCTCTCCAGGTTTCTAGATCAGCCCACTAACACACACAGCACAAAGACTTCAGTGGGGAGCAAGACAGACAGCTCACCAAGCAGACTTCTTTTAAGTGACAGGGTTTGGACAGGTAGAAAACAAGACTGTGAAGACCAGGTGGCAAGGGATCACGGTGAGACCAGGAAGCAAATCCTGACAAAGTTCACAGCAGCCCTTTCCTCACTAATCTGCAATAATGCAAGGATTTCTGATGGAATCAATGAGAGGCTCATGAGGATTTCCTGGGGTCAAGCCGAAGGCTCAAGAAGTGGAATAAGAAGAGTGTGGGACTATTTCAATATCCTTTACAAGTGATGGCAAGATTAATATCTCTATAGAAGAGGGCAAGAAAGAGACTGTGACATAATATAAAAAGGCAGTAAGAAGGTCATCTTTCATGGAGGATTTTAGGAACAAGAGCAGGAAGAAGCAGTTGTATTACTGAGGAGAAAAAATCTCCTTGGTGATAGAATAGAAATTTAGACAAATGTAGAATTTAGGGGTGAGGAGAATGACCCTCATCCTGCAGTGAAACACAGTTCAAGTATCTGTGGGAAGTTTTTGAGAGATGGAGGATGCAAAGGGACGTGAGAAAGGATCTGGTTCTGTTGATGGCAGAACTGTGAGCTCTAAAATCTTAGGGGGGATTGCTGGTAGAATGGTAGGAGTTTATCTGGAAGGGGAGTTTATACATGTGTAGTGTATAGTGTATAGTGTATAGTTGAGAGCCCAGAAGACCTTGGAGGAACAATATATTACTAAGCCTACAATTGTCAGAGGATGGAATTAAATGCCCTGTTAGTAATAGGCTGGGCCACAAGGATGTGAAGACAATACTAAGAGGGCTATTGGAAGTCACAGAAAAAACTCAGCACATCTTTCTGGGTTCTCAACTTGATATGAAGATTAGGGTTGGGAGGAAGATAGAGGAGTGCAGGTCATATTTATTTTATTCTTTTTAAAAACAGACATATACAATAGAATACAAAAGGATCCAAGTGGAGTCCTAATAATAAACATAAAATGAAAAAAAATCTTATTTGTAAAAATTAACTCTCCTGTAATACCACAGAGACTATTTTACATCAGGATATAAAGATATATTCATCTTTATGGCTACAAACTGTTCAGAGAGCAAGTTTGAGGATACAGGAAAGACAGCACAAATTTACCCTCCAAGGTTGCCAGGGTGACTTTGATGAGAAGCACAGCTCTGAGAGCCAGATTAGGTAAAAATTGGTCATAAAACAAAGCATACTTACTTTCCCAAATTAGCATAGTGATGTGGCAGAGTGAAAACTTGGACGGGATAGGAAGAATTGGAAGAGAGAGGGCATGCGAGGAACAGCTTCCCTGGGCACTGAAACCAGGACCCTGGGCAGACAGTGGGGTTTCTGTTTGGGGCAGCAGGAGTAATTCAGCTGGTATCCATCGTGTATTTTAATTAACGGAAACACATGGTTTTGCTTTTACTGAGGTCCCTGTGGGCTCCTGGGATGCTTACTGTGCCATACAACATAGACAAAATCCCAAACTGGACCCCAGACTGAAAAGAAGAAAAGTACTATATTATAATGGCAATTTTAGATGTAAGAATAGTGGCTATTTGCCCTTCTGATCATTTTATAGCTTCAAATTTTACCTAATCATTTTAAGACGTCTAAAATGACTTCGTGTCTTCGGATTTTCATAATGAAAACATTTTCCAGAGCAAGCAGAGGTAAAGACAATAAAAGTCAGATGGGCTGTAGGACATCTGCATAAATGTTAAGTTTTCATAACTAGTCTCATGACCAGGAAATTCCTTAATTATATTGTTATTTTCTAATAATTACATAGATGTGGTTTATGGCATTAATCTGCAATAGATGTCTCTCTGACAAAGAAAGAAAGGAGGGAGAGAGGAAGGGAAGACGAACAGGAGGAAGGAAGAAAGATAAATTCAATGAAAGGCAGATAGTTCTAATCACATTAGGAAAGTGAAATCTTCAGTGTGTTTATACACTTTAGCTTGCTTTGATGTGATGCAGGGAAAAGATGATGCTGATAGAAAAGCTCAATGTTGTGCAGAGCCCTCCCTGCCCATTGGGTGGATTTTAATGTCATTTTGAACTTATTGTCCATATTTTAAGACATTTTCTCGACTGAGTTTATATAGTTAGGAGTATGTTATAGTTTCTGTAGTCTATTATATGCTTTATACTTATTTTTTGGCATAAATTAAAAAAATTATTTTCTCTAATATGTAATACTAAAACTCAAAAGGGGCAAAAGAATGTCGGAGGAAGGTTCCTTTCCCACTCCTGTGTGCCAGACATGACTTTTCTCTCCCTGGAGGCAACTAATGTTACTTTTGTTTCTTGGAGGAACTGTTACAAGCATCTACAAGCAAATATTTATAGGGGTCTTCTATTATTTTTCAATCGACTAGTAGTACACAGTATACATGTTGTGTACCTTGCCTTTATTTGAACAACACATCTTAAAGATTCTTTATATTAGGACCTAGAGAGCCTTCTCATCCTCCCTGTATGAATGCAATGTATTCAGTAGCATGAATGTATGTAGGGCAGGTAAAATAATTTTCCCTCTACCCTTCTGAGTTCTTAGCTGAGACCCCTGTAATAAAAGACAGATTAATAAAAGAAACAGAGAAGTTTATGAGCATCTATATTCATGCATACATGAGAGGTACTCCAGAAGCCTGAGGACTCTGTTATTTGAAAAATCTCAAGGTGCTCTGACATTACTGTGTGCATATTTATTTCCCTGCTGCATTTGGGGATCCCACTGAGGCACTTTCTTACATATTTCTGCTCTAAGACTAAAGACAGGTGTTTGGATTTTGTAGGAGCTGATGACCATTTTCCAACTGTTGCACTGGAATGGAAGCCTGAAAGCCCTTCGTGAAACCAAGTGTTCCCGACAGGTGAGATTTCCCAATCAAGGATGGGTTGTGTTGTAGAAACTGAGCAGATGGCTTGTCATCTTCCTAGGAAATGCCCTTTATTTGGAATTTTCTCATTTAAATCTGATACCTTATTTATCAAGTAAGAGCAGAGGACACATGAAAAAATAGGTATAACAGTCCATGGGAATCATGGACTGACCAAATGTGCACACGAAGAAAAATGTTGGCTGGGCGTGGGACTGATTAGGTAGCTGTACTGAATGCCGTAATGGAGGAATCATTAGACAGGCCGAGTTCCCAAGTCAAATGCTGAACTACTCTGTGCACCTGCCCTGCCTGCTTAGAATTTGTGCCCTCTTCCACTCTGTGATGCAGAGAGAAATTCGAGAGTGTATTGTTTCTGAACCTCCTCACTGAAGAGAGGTAAAGCTGGTTGCAGCATGAGGATTTTTCTTACCCCCACCAAAAGCCCCCAAGGACAACACAAATGATTAGAAAGGTGGACAAGCTGGCATCAGTCACCTCAATTATTTTCTTTGGAAATTTCTTCTTTATTTTTCAGAGAGAGTCTCATTATTTCTTTGTTACCTATGAGAAGACCCCTCCCCCTTCTTTTATAGAAAAGTCAAACCCCTCCTGTATATTTACCGGTTTTCACCTGCTATCGTCCAAGGTTTATTTTTATCTACCATTACACTTTGAAAAATGGTCATTTACTCTTCAGGTTTTGCTAACAGGAATTTGTACAAGGAACAAAGCCATACTAGTCAGCAAGATGAGAGTGGATGTAAGAGTGTTCCATGCACTGTAGCCCCAGGAATTTTTAGTCATTCCTTGCCTGGAAAGTCTGGCTTTCAAAATGTCGAAGATGGAAAAGAAATGAGTAGCTGACAATGGCTTTGGCTGTTTTTTTTCTTTTCCTTTGATTTTATAAAAGGCCTTTGAAATATGCCAGTTGGTTATAAACACTTTTCCATGGTTGTTTTTAATTTGTTAAGGTCATAAATAAATACCATATGTTCTTGAAAATAAAAATAAGCAATGCATCCACTCAAGATCTTCCTAAAGTGTATCCATCAAACCCATACATAATGTTACAGTGTCTTGGCAAATTTTTCCCAGGAGAATTGACAGGTACCGACTACTTGTTTGCAGAAGGAAGTGACAATGTACGTGAAGGTACCATTGTGATATCAATAAGGATAATGCCTACATTCCAGAACACATTTTTAAAGTTCTTTCTGAGGTTTCTGTAAGCCATTTGGGCTATTTCCCTTAGGCTAACAACACAGCAGTTATGAAGTTGCCTCTCCTGGTTTCTAAGTCTTTTCCTGACTCAAAGCTTCCTGCTTTCTGCAATGGATATGATCAAACCCAGTTTTGCCCTAATCCTTCCATATAGCTGTTTCACTCTCTCTATTTTGCCAAAGGAGATAATTCTGGCAGAAGAGTTCAATGAATCAATGAGGTAATGTTTGTACCAGTTGTTACAGTAATGCTTCTTCAAAGGCAGAAATATTTTCTAGTGAGGTCAGAGCTGTTTTGTGAACATCGAGTCATTCCTGGTGATAATGTTTTGACTCCAGCGGGAGTGACCTTGTTTTACCATATCAGCTTCTCAGCCCCTCATTTCCTTTACAAACTATGCCACAGGGTTTGGCTTCAGTGTGTGGACATAGAGAGGTTTGGTTGTGGGCAGAACCCCAGTGAGCGTGGCAGGTAGCAGAAGCAAAGGAGAGGAGGTATGGGAGGGCCATGAGCACAGGGGCCCTTGTTGCTTTTCACTGACACCTTGGACTCTGTTTCTTGGCTCCCAGGAAGTCATCTCCTACTATTCCCAGTATTCCCTAGATGAAAAGATGCGCAGCCACATGGCCCTGGATTGGATCATGAAGGAGCGGGAGTCGCCAGGGATTCTCTCTCAAGAGCTACGAATGGCTCTGAGGGAGTTGGAGGAAGCCAGGAAAGCAGGACAAGAACTACGGTTTTACAAAGAAAAGAAAGAAATCCTGAATTTAGCCCTGACTCAGATCTACAGTGAGCCTGACACTTCCTCACCCAGTGATGATCAGCTGAGCCTCACTGCCCTTTGTGGCTATCCCTAGCAAGGCCAGGTCCCCGCTGCCCCCCAGATTGGCAGAGGCTGGACTTTAACATAGGGAAGTTCACTGAAGGAGGTCATCAGGGGCTTAGCACCTATAGCTACTACCTGCAGGCTGCTAACTCTCCCCACCCATTCCATGCACAGAATCTGAGAGTAATAGGACCCTCAGAGGACCCAACATCTCTCTACTTGACAGTCTCCCCAGCATGTTCTCAATGATGCCACCTCAGGCTGAAAGGATGCAGACAGGGTTGTTTGATGGTAATTTACTGGCCTGCCTCCAACCAACAGTCCAGTTGATATGCCTTGCTAGATCATGCATTTTTTAATCAAAGAATGGGCCAGTGTCTCATCCCCCAGAATAGCAGCCAGGACTAGGGAAAGTAGCATGATAACAATTTGTAAAAACATTTGGATTAAATAAATGATATGGATTGTTTTTAAAAAAATTCATAGGGTCAGAGTTTCTTCCTAAGTTTTGTAAGCTATGAGATAGTTTATACTCTGCTAGGTGTAATTCAGAATGACAGTGGGGGGTTATCTGTACATCCCATTATCAAAGATTTTTAAGTGGTAATAGTATGAAAATATTAGATAAATTTAATGTGGCTTAAAATACCACTGTAATATTTTTTTTTTAAATCCTCACTTTTCCATAAGGGGATAAATGTCACCTAGAATAGTATCCTCACTTGTATTCCTCAAGAAGAATTAATATCCAACTTTAAGGAGTCCTGCTAACAGTCATGTTCATTTTTAATTTGCAAATAGATGCTGGAATTGATTTGTTTTTATTTTTGCCACCCCAGTCATGTATCTATAATGTTACTGGCATTTTAAATGTTAAAACATGATAAAAATCATTAGCATTTAACAATGATTGCATTTTATTCATTTCTTAGTCATTAGAGAAGTAATCTTTAATTGTCTTGGTTGTTGTTCAAGAACATAAGCCACCATACAGTAGCTCAAATGTAGTGTCATTTTTAAGTTTAAATTACTGAAATCTTCTTTAAAGAAGGGACAAGACATTGCCAGCTCTCTTTGAAAATGTCTTGGGTCAATCAACTGATTAGAAAACCAAAAGCAATACAAATGGTTCCTGGTCACTCAGATTTAGGAATGACAGCAGTGTCAGTTTTAAACACTTGTAGGTAACTTGAAAACAATTATTCTGCACTTAGGCCAACAATTCAAATGAAAGAAATCAGTTTTCTCAATTTTAAAACAGGTTTCCTTTTCTTCTGTTTAGGCAAATGCAGACTAACATTCCTGAAAGTTAAAACCATTTTAATTACATTTAAGTTTACAAAAACATTATAATTTAGCCTCATATCTAAATATGTACAAAGGTAATTGTCCCTCCTTAAATCCCATGAAAACCACAGTATATTGATCATATGTTTTGGGATTAGCCCTGATAACACAAAATTTAACTTCATACCGTATTTCTCATACAGGGGGAAAATTTAGATACATATCTGCCCTAATGTTTTGAAAAGGTAATACTATATAATATTTGATAAATTTTATTTTAAAATACTGTTTTAACAAAAATCACATTCCTCTCCATAATGAGGCTAAATGTCATTTAGAAGAAAACTTTATTCCCTTATGTTCCCAAAAAGGAATTAGAACGAATATTTATAAGCTGAATAAATTTTTAAAGTTAAGAAACTTTCCATTTCAAGTAATTTTTTAATAAAGTCACTATTCTTTATCATTTCAAAACAGCAACTTCCCTTGTTGGGTGTAATTAAAGGTTCTGTACACCTTTGTTGCATTGCAGCTGTGGACAATGACCACCTCAAGCTGACACTATCTAATTAGATGCAGGAACAGGAATCCACTGAGAAAATACTATATTCACTCTCTGTCCTACAATTAGAAAACTGTACTCATTCTATAAATTGAAAGCAGAGGTTCTCCCTTGGCCACTATCAGCTTTTCCCATCTGGTCAAAACCTCCCACTCTTCCTAGACTAGTATGGAAGCTACAACAAAAGAAACAAAGTCAGAGTCTTTGCCACTGCTGGTCCCTTTGATGCTCATTTATAGGAGTTCAATTTCAGCTAAGACATAATGGCTGTCAGCACATCATATAAGCATCCATAGTCCTGGCCTTGAGAAGAGCAGGGTTGAAGAGCAAAGTATTTTTTGCTTCTCTGAATCTTTTCTCAATAACACACTGTTGAAGGGGTCTAGAATGGAAGATTCTCTATTTAAATATATGCAGTCTGGGTCCTAACCTTATGTGGTTATAAACCTTTTGAGAATCTGATAAAAGCTATGGGCCTTTTCCTAGGAGAATAGAATAAAGCATATAGGATACATTCAAAATTACACAGTTTCAGAGTATGTGGACCTCCCCAAAGTTCATGGATTGCTGTGTCCAAGGACCCCTGGTTTAGAACTCAATTTTGACTACATACTTACTGCCTCAAACTTTTAGCAGGGATCCAAACTAGCTCATATAGACATATGTCTATATCTATCAACCTATAGACATAGCCTCCTATAGCTTATTGCTAAGATAAATGTCATCATTTATAATATGAAATTGTACTGTATTTTGACAAGAGAGTTTAATTTTCACAAAATTCAAATATACCAAATTGTTATTTAAAAAAAAACAGCTCAAAGAAAACTTGTCACTAAACTTGCATGAACCTGTCAGAATATTTTGTATTTAATAAAGTCACTGTTCCTCTAATGATCAGAATTCAGTCGTCCGTTTGTTCAAAAGCTATAGTCTACTGATATGTTTGCTGTTGAATTCACTTACCTATTTCTCAGAAAGGGAAAGAATCAAACTATAGATGTTCCTTAAATGCTGTACTTACATGAGCTATGATCTGGTCAGCTAGGCCTCAGAAAAAAAGAGAAAGAACATATAAAGTTTAACACTTTCCTGTTTTTTTAAGAAAAGTTAGGAAACTAGAAGTACTATAGTTGACTTATCTCTGAAATGCTTTAGAGAATTCTGAGTTATACCATGCCATGCCTTTCTTACTTGCCAAAGGACAAAAAAAAAAAAACAGATTAAGAATATTTTCATTTTCATTGACTATGTTTATAGGTAAACACTATTCAAGATATTATCTCATATATTGTTGAAATGTTTTTGTTTTGCCTTGTAAAAATGAAAATATCAAGACTTTTTCTGTGGTGTCCATCATATTAAAAAGCGAATACATTGTTTTTATCCAGGGCTCTAGGAAAATGCAAATCATTTTTCCTGCCACAGTGGTTCTCAACTTTGGCTTCACATTAGAAATACCCAAGGAACTTTAAAAAAAAAGTCCTAAATGTTCAGACTATACCCAGACCAATAAAATCAGACTCCTTGGAAGTAGGGCCCTGGCATCAGTATTTTTTAAAGCTCCCAGGGTAGTTCTAGTGTGCAAGAAAGTTGAGAACCATTGCTCTACCCAGGAAGCTCTGGCTCAGAGGTCTGTGGCCAACTAGTGGAAGCTATTACTCTACTTGGCCTTGGCCCAAAATTCAAATGTGCTCTTCCCGACTTAGGTAAGAGCAAAACCTTTTGCTTGGGCAAGAGGATCTCCTAGAGCCCAAAACACACATAAGCACACACACACCCCTCTTAGCAGGAGAGCCAGATTCTATCCCAGGGTCCAGGATTTCTTTCTCAAATATGATATATGAAATAGCCACACCAGAATCATCTGGGGTACTTGTTCAAAAATACAAGTTCCTGGGCCACATCCTATACCTGCTGACCAAATTCCATGACAGGGTCTGGATTATATACCACTTCACCAGGTGTTTCCTATCACACTTAAATTTGAGCTCTTTTGGCCTAAAGCTACCTAACACATTCTTTACTAGGCAGCACAGCCCTGGACCTTCTGACATAACCTGCCTCCAGGGGAAGAGCACAGAAAAGGAATAAGGGAGAGAGAGGAAAGCCCTCTCTCTCTCTACCCCTCCTGGAAACTAGAAAGCAGCAGAAGTCACAAAGAGATGGCTCCCTTTTCTCTCCAAAAAGAGCAACTCTTGCTCTTTGATCATATTGATCCAGCATTTGGAATTACTTTTAATGCCTTTACTAGAAACTGTGAAAATCTCTGTTAGATCGTGATTAAAGTCACATCTTTAAGTCTGACTCTACTCTGATAGCACTTCTCCTGAGGAGCAGAGTAGGTTGTGGGAAAGGCAAACAGAAGCTTCTTCCTGAGAATTGTTGATTCTCTAGTACTTGTTGGTTCCCAAGTGAAAATTCCAGATCACTATCTATTTATAGGCAGTTCCCAATTATAGCAGCAATTATGTTCCAAAGTCTATTTGTTGAGTTATTCAACCCTAAGGATGTATTTTTCTATAGAAACAGGTCATAAATGCTAGCTAGTTTCCCAGATTAGCCTATATAAGCCACAGCGTACCTCAAAGATTGTTGTATGGGGCCTCATACATCTGTAGGTAGTGACAGGGCAGAAGGGTAGAACGGGGGCAGCTGTGAGTATAGGGCATAGTACTAAAGAGCTCTATGGGGCATATTTCTCAGTCCCAAACTGATTCTTCAGACAGTCCCTTTATTTTTTCTTTGTCCCTGATAGATTAGCTTGCCAGTGCCCCACCACTGCCATCACTGGTGCTTTTTCTAATCATGTTGCTACTTGCTGACTTACTGAAGAAGAGGTGATTTTTTTTCCTGCCTTTCCTATAAATCCTTTGAAAATTTCTAAGAGTTGGTATCACAAGAAACAGGAACTACTAAAAAGCCAGCTACTAAGCTTCTCTGTAGAGAATGTTTCCACCAGGGCCTACAGGGAAAGACACAGGTACATGCAGCAAGACTGCATTGGACAGGCTGGTATGGGACCTGGCATGCTCACCTATACCCCTAAGGTTTCCTGCTGCTTTGGTGATATTATTTGGTTTCATATGACATTGCTCCATTCTGATCACAGCTAGCCAGTAACTAGACAGGGATTCTGCGTAACCTGATTCAAAGCTCCAGATTAGACTGATTTGTCTAATCTGTTGAAATGTGAACTAAGGGATATGGAAGGAACTTGCCAGTTTGAATGGGGAGCTGAAGTTGGAAGTCACATAAAAGCTGTGGTCTGTGCAGGTTGAAGGGATGAGGAAGTAGGAGCCATGAGTCAGCAGAGGAAGTCGGCTGTTGCAGAGAGCAGATGCAGAGAGAGGAGAGACATGGAGGGAAGGTGAGAGCATGAGGTCCCCTGGGGGATGGTGAGAGCTGCCCACCCAAGCACCCTGAAATAACTCACTTACTCTTTATCCAAGTGGACCACACACCTACAAACAGATATCTCATCTTACTCATTTCAAATCACACTAGATTATTCTGGACTTTTCATCCTATGAATAGACCAAAAAAGCTGCCATGAGCAAGAACCTCTTCAAGTGAGAGAAGAGAAATACGGCTGAGAAAACTAGATTTAGGACTGGTGACAGAGTTAACTTTTTCCCCTCCTATTCCCGGGTAAGGTCTCATAGCAGTTGTGAGTCTGTCCAACTCTAAAATGTTGTACGGACTCACAACTGAAATAAATTTATGAATTACATGCTAACCATCCTGTCCTTGTTCTCATTCATCCCTGGGTTCTCATATTCCGCAGGAGGCATGACCACAGAGGGAAAACAGAATTCTATTTTTAAAAAGAGAGAATTCATAACCTCAAATAATTGTTGTCTTCTTAAAAAACCAGTCACCTCGGGAAACTAGTAACATGCTCTGACAATGCTCAAGGAGGCCCTCTTTGTCGAAGACATTCTTGTCATGGACTCTTCCTGGGCACTGACCCTCTGAGTTCTTGTGAGCAAAGGAAGAAAAGAATCTCTTTCATTGGCTGAAGACACCTTGCCATCCTGAACTGACTCATTTATTTCAGCATCTCAAGCAGTAGGCCTAATACTTAGCAGGTGCTCTATGAATGTATATATGTATGTGCACATACATGTGTATCACTGCTCATTTCTCAATCTGCTTTCTTTTGTATTGACTGTTTTTAGATAGTCTCTCTCCTTGCAGCAAGATGGTAGTCAGCAGGTTTATGCTTACATAGAAAAATCAGGAATTCTCTTCCTGGCAGTTCAAATCCAAATTCCCAAACTGAGTACCGTGGTAGTATTTTGGTTAAATTAATCACTATGCCAAGCCCGAGTCACATGTCTGTTCCCCTGGAACTAGCAGTCAAGTCATTCCACCTAAACAACTGAGACCTGGGAGAGAGGAGTAGTCCCCTAAGGTAAATATGGGTTCAGTTTTCAAACAGGGAAAATGTGGCCATTTCCTAAAACATTTTAAACTGTTTCTCTTCAAAAGCCTTTAAGGACAGAATGAACAAGAAGAAATGCAGTCTCTCCAACCATTAGTTGAGACAAAGGATTCTGAGTTCACAAAAAACAGCAGACATCCACTACAAATCCATCATTCCATTTCCAAAAATCAAATCCACCCTCAAAGAACAAATTTTGTCACCGTTAAGGGTGCTCAAAAGAACATCTTCCCCTGAGGGGAAATCCAAAGTGTTTCCAGACCAATCACATCACTGGAACAAGCCTACAGGTTCTCTGAGGACTTACCTCCAGGGACAGTGCTCATTTTTATGTGAGAGTTTTGTCTTCTGGAGACCTAACCACTCACATTACTCTGCAGTCACACTTCATGTATCTTCAGGGCTGATGAATTGTTGCTATGCAAGTGAGTCAGGAAATTTCCTCTGGTCTATTTCCAGTGGGCCCTGGCTTTCATTATCAATGGCTGCTAATGCTCCTTAATAGAAAAGAAAACAGCTGATCCCAACAATTGAAAACAGTTGTGGCAAAACTGGACAGTTCAATAGCCTGGAGAGTTGATTTATCCCTACTATTACTGAGCAACATGCAGACCTTAAGGATGGCTCCACTCTGACCCATCAGTTGGGATGCAGTCAGACAAAAATGATTTTGGAAACAATTTATTCTGAGGCAATCCATTCTGTATCTCCCAGATATTTCCATGTATCCATGTAGTGGTTTGTTAGATGATGTCTGGAGGTAAATAGGCAATACTTAATGCAAGCCTGCTTTCATAGGGGAATTTTGAAAACACAAGTGATCCAGCAAAATACCAGATTGCCAGGTTAGTTGAAAGGTCAACCTGAAATCATAATGAATAAAACTAAAAAGTGAGGACTGTTTTATCTTTTCAGTTAATATTCTCTCAGAAGATCTGGGGATTTTGTTTTATTTATTCATTTATTGTGATTACTTGGATTTTAAAAAAATGTGTTTTGGTCACAAGGCCACTAAAATCAAATCCAAAGGCTGGGAGGGGATTTCTCTTCTCTTAAAGGTTGAAACAGATCCTTTTTAAATGATGACTCAGTAAAATACGTGTGTTAAAGATTGGGCTCACTAAAGTAGTAGACTAGATTAAGACACGTTTCCTTCATACTTCTTTCATCCAGAGCATTACTACTGGCAACAAAATTTGCATCCTTTTTATTTCTTCATAGAAATCCAAGGGTAGTAGCTCCTTGCCCAGTTTACCAGTTGGGCTCAGCTCTCACTCCACTGGAGAGATGCTTCGATAGGCTACATCTTGCCACACGGACAGCTTCATCCCAGGCATTGCAGGTGTTGCACACAATGACAGTAGGATTTACAGGGTCTAAAATGAATGGCCTAAAAAAACAAAAGCAAAACTGAAACCCCAAAACTATGCATTTCT